CCTTAGGGTAACGGGAGGACACAAACTAGCGTCCTCCCGTCACCCTTAGCTCAGTATACCGCGAGCTACAACTCCCTATATACTGAGACGCCGCAGCCGGAACAGATCCCGACAATTGTCTGGATCCGCCCAGCTGCGTGAGTGACAGCTGGCTCTGCCTATCTAGAGGCAGAGCCAGCTGTACCCGCCCCCGTCCGTTCCGCCAGTCAGCTCTGGCAGATCGGAGCGGGGAGAGGGGAATCCAGCCCCTCCCCCTGTCACGGCTGAGAGCCGTGACAGGATCGAGAGGTGAGCGAATGCCGGTATGTGTTCCCTCACCTCCCGATCTACTGAGCCGACCTGTGACAGTCTCATTGTCACAGGTCGGCTAGAACTATGAGTGGAAATCACTCATCTCATAGTTCTCCTTTAAGAGTCTGAAATGAGAGAGAGAAGCTGATTGGTTGCCATGCACAGCTGCCCCAGATTCCGTCTGCTCCAGTTTTGATAAATCCCCCTCAATGACTTTCAAACATCCTGCACACTGATCAGACCTCGGCATTGCATCTAAACTGTAGGCACTATCCCGTGTGCTGCATCTCTAGTGCTCTGCACGCAGAGTGTCACAAAAAGTAGCCCCCTTGGGAGTAAGGCCTTGTTCACACCAAGCGCGGAGCAGATCCAGACCAGAGCAGGTGCAGACCGGATCAAAACTGCGTCCAATGTAGTCCAATGGTATTTTGACCTCCAGTTCACATCGCAGCGTGCGGATCCAGACCAGATCCAGACCGGATGAAAAAAATGCGGCAAGCCCTATTTTACCTGCTCTGGATCTGGTCTGGAACGCCTCAAAAACGCATCAAAAATGCATGCAAGTGCCTGAAAGTCCATGTTTTTTTTTAACCAAAACCGTCCCTAAACGCATCAAAAACGCATCAAAAACGCGTCTAAAACGCGGCACAACCCACTACACTGCGTGTGCAGAAACCTGACCGGATCTGGTCTGCATTTGGTGTGAACAAGGCCTAACACAAGACATATTTGGCCCACAGTTTACCCAGAATGCAAATGGGCCTCATACTCCTCACCGTTCCTCAGCAACAACTTCACAAGTAGTAAGAACAATAGTACAAAGCAAAACAAAGCATG